ATCAGGCTTATGCTGAAAGGGACCTTCCTACCTCTGTTGCTGATTTTAGAGCAATTCTTGTAGGTGGTGACAATTAATCCCACTTTGAGACTTGCTTAAAAAGAACAGTTAAATAAGAGAGTACTTGTAAGTTTCTGGAAACCCGAAATAAATAACAAAGCTTAAATTTAGTCTTGATAACATTTGTTAACAGACCAGAAAATTCTTATCCTTTCATTATGTCCGCTGGAATTGAAGGATATTCCACGTTTTCAGCAGCCCTGTAATACAACATCATGGGATATCCTGCTCTGACAGGCTACGTAATGGGTATTCCTAGAGCCTAAGTATTTTCCCATTTTTACTTAAAAACCAATTCAACCTATTCATTTTAGATTCTGAACTCAGAAAAAAACAACTTCAAAATAACAAACATGAGAATAACTGACAAATAATTCACAAGGACATCTTTAACTTTTGCTCAAAGCTCATACTATTAGTTTACAGCAAAAGGATATAGTGTTACCTGCTGATATAAACAAAATAAATTACTTATAGGTGCAAGAAACAGATGCACAGCAAAATGTTTCAAGATTTCCTGCAACAATGCATTACATCTATAAGAATAGCTTGGATGATTATCTAAACGAACCAGATTCAATGTATCTGCAAATCTGGGGTGAACATCTCAGAACTTCTGCTTTTCAGTGGGGTTTGGGGTTTTTTTCCCCCCCCCCTAACAGATTCAGCTTCTGGTTATGCTTGAGACATCACAAATAGCCATCTTCTGCAGTTTACTGTTTCTGTCTTGTGCCCCAGCTGGCACCTGGCAGTGTCTATAAATGAAAAGTAATGAGGAATGAAAAGAAAGAGATGAGATTTAAATGGCTTAGTTCTAGTATGGGGAGAATGGTTGTCTGCATTTGTGTCCTTTTCAAAAAGGCTTGCCAGTCTAATTAGAAATGTGGGTAAGCATCAGTTATTTTTCTTCCTGTATTTGTTGTTTGCTAGAGATAGGACCCCCACAACAACAACAAAATCTAACTGTAGATTTAGATCTGAATATTGCTTATTGCTAATCTCTGACATGAATATATCTTTACAATAGCAAAACTAGAGCTTTATTTTGAAAAAAGGCGTTTAATGTTTCACATGACTCATTTTAGTTTATATTGTCACTTCGGTCTCTAAAAAAATCCACAAACATACAAATAAAACTCACCCCAAAATTTATAACTACAACTACCCAGAACAGTTTGCTTTTGATTTGATCATGTTTTGGTGAATTGATTAGACTGTCATGGGTATTCCATGTGCACTGAAGAAGGGTATAGTTTAAAAGAGCCTTTTAATACACATTTCCATTTTTAAAAAAGATGTATTTAAATTAGAGATAATCATATGTGCCACTACTGGTGCAGTCAATTATTTTTCCCATGCAGATGGACTGCAGTCAAAACATTTCCATTTTCACCTAATTAAATTTCCTAAAAATCTCTGCCTCTCTTATCCCTCATTCTCTTTCTGGAGCCATTTCATTTTCTAATTACAAACTGTGATAAATTAGGGAGTATTTAACATGTATTTGTGTTAATTTTCTCAGTTTTTGAAGTTATGTAGCCATTACAGGAGTTGCTAGAATACTTAGTTTGTTGCCTCCTGGCAAATTGTATCAAGCCCATGAGAGTAAGCAGATAACCAGTGTACTGTATAGTGGTAAGTGTAGGCAGCCATCAAGCACGGATAATCTCCAGGCCAAGTGGAATCCTCTTTGACCCGTGAAGTTGAACAAGCTGCAAAAACTGGTCTGCCCAGTTAGCTAGAGGCTGAGATTTCTTGAGGTGCCAACCAATACAATAGGCTACAACTGACAAGTTTGTTACAAAGAGCTGTCTATCTGACTTGTGATTTTAGAGAAACAGTAGAAAAGATGAGAGGCAGATAGCGAAGCCTATAGTAAGAGGATTCTCCAAACCTTAAGTGTCTCAAGCTGAAGCCTGAAGGCCATTCCAGAGCAGCAAAGAAAGTGAAGCACAGAAGGGCGTTTATACACTTAAAGTTTTGCCTGGATCTGCTTATCCGACTAGCTCTCAAACACTTCTTGTCTGGCTCTCAAATACTTTTCTTTACTTAAGACAATACTCCAAGTAAAGAGGCTCACCGTGGGAGGAACTTACCAGAGCAGCAGCCCTGAGAGTATCTAGGAAATGGAGGCTACCGTGGCCCAACATAGACAGCCCTTGCTTCAGGTACATAACTACAACCTTCTTTCTTCACACCATGTCTGAGTCAAGACCTCGCTACCAGCTAATGCTTATTCCCTAGTTGTTCTCTTGGGATGAGCAGATATTAGAAACATTCAAGGACCTCGACCAGCTAATACTGTAAATGAAAATAATAAGTAATGTCAGTTTTACCTTGCATTGCATGTAATTTAAGATTATTAGGAGGTCAAACTTAAGACTTGTTTCTTAACTACAAGCAACAACTCTTCTTTCAACTTGGTAGAGAGCTTTTTATGTGAAATCAGGCTTGCAGATAAAGGTGCAGTCTGTGTCACCATTAATCTTTGAAAGCACTTTTTAGCAACAGACAGCTATTTTGAGATCCAGTTTAATTGTGACATGCATAGACTGGCTTGGACCCTTTGATCAGGAGCTCACTGCACACAGAATAGATTTTCAAACCTCTGCAGGTGAGAAATTTGGAAGCCTTTGCTCCAGGTGCTTCTAAAGAGTTTTAGGTTGCTTACAAATACATTAGAAATTCTACATGTTGAAGGAATAACAAAAAAGACTGTTCAATGAATCCTAGAAGGAAACACTTTTTTACCCTGTGTTGCTAGTTTTCGTATCTTACCCGTTCTGACCTCCAGCAATTCAGGATTATCAGACCTATTGACAAATGGGTCACTAGCTGTGATACAAATGCAAAGAAAGACGAAAAGGTTTACCATTGCCAATACAATATACCCTGAAAGAAGGATTTGCTGTGTTACAATATACCTAGCTGTGCTCAAGGACTGGCAGAGCTGCCTCAAGATAAAACAAAATGAAACAAAACCACCCTCTCTTTGATCTGGTCACAGCTCAGCGTATGAGGAATGTATGTCAAGTGGCTATGGGTGGGTCTGGCCTGTGACACATCCCTGCTCTCAAACATCAGCTGGAAGCTTTTGGCTCTTTTGCATATGGGCTATCCTACAAAAGCTTTCCAAAGTTAAAAATTTTTCAAAAGAGAAAAATATAAATAACATGAAGAAGAATAAAGTGTGTAATAAGCTCTCAACTCAGATGTTTTTGATGACATGCAGAGTCCTCAGGCTTGAGAAAGAGGAGTCCGTCTTAATTTCAGACAGATCTATACAATAAGGAATTCTCCCACCATTTAGACTAATTTTTGAGAAATTGTATTTATTGGTATTGTAAGTCTGTGAAAACATTTACAGAAATGTATTATGGGAATATGTATATTATGGCTCAGAGCAGAGGGCATGAATGGCTCCTCAGTGGCCACGGCCTCCCCCTGCTCCTGGGAACAGAGAGGGATCTCCTGGTGCACCACTAGCACGGGTCACCAACTCGTGCACAGCGGGTCCAGCACCTTGGGCCACCAGTGCACACTCTGCTTGCCAGCATTCTAGCTGCACA